AGTCGCAAGGTGCCCATTAATTTTGATAGGGAACTCATTGAATTGGTTTGAGTTCATTATTAGCGGCAAAGCCAACTCTATAAAGTCTGTATTCTTTCTGCTTACCCTTCCACAAGAGGGTATTGCTGCCTTCTTGCTCTCTGATGTGCCCATTTCTCACTTGCCAGGTTTTGCTCAGTGCAGTGATATCAATGTTGCATCGCCTAAGTTCTCGAGCCACAACTGCAGTGTGGCACTCTGAGTGTTCATTATTAGGATTGTCCATGAGGGTCCTGATGTTCCAGGTCCCAAAACTGGTTGCGTATCTTTGTTGATTTTGACTACATTAAAGATGATCCCACTGCACACAGTTATCCATTCAGGAAAAAGCTAGAAAGACTGTGTTTAGGGCACTTTTTCTAGCTCCTTCCCATGTGGGTTGAGCAGAGCAGATCCTAAAGCAGGCTGCTCAGTCACAGTTACAGCTGCTCAACTGCACTCCTGCCTCATCCAATTGCTAGACAACCTTCTCGGAACTGCCGTCTTCATGCCAGTTCATGACTAGGAACTTCTAGGCTTCACTAAAGTTTGTCTTGTGAAGGCTACACCCTAAAAAAGATTCAAGGACTACATGCCAAAGAAAACTGACCATTATATCAATCGCACAATATTTGTTATTATGGACTGAACTATGTATATTAGATGGTAGAGATGACCACTGAAACTCAACTGAAGAATCTTTAGAGTAAACTTAAGTGATCCAAATGAAAAGAAATTAGACCCAAAACCAAGGAAAGAAAAAAACTGCAATATTATCTGAAATAACTGCTGTAAGAGTGAACAATATTAATTATACATTGAAGAATAACTGAATCCCGATGACGACAATTCTGTTCACATTAAAAAGGAACTACTGATTACCTTAACTCTTAAAGTATTTTTACTCCTGGGTATTAGGTTCTTAATGTGACACAAAAGGAACACTTAAGGATTTTTTCCCCAAAGAACAGCAGTAGTGACATGTGGAAAGAACCAGTTAAGTCAATCACCAAAACAGTGCTGAAGAAGCAGCTTATAAGACAGAAAAAACAAGATCTATTACCACTTATAGCAACAACAAAAAATCATCATCATCATCTGGTTTCCTAGAGGGGGTGATGGGATATGTGAGAATCACAAACAATACCATCTTCAAAGAATAAGAATTACTGGTAAGTAATTTTCCCTTCTCTAAAGATGCCATTTGTGAAGGAATCTGACACTTAGATTATAAACCTAAATGTTGTGAGCTCTCTAGGACAAGGATCATTTATTATCATTGACAAAGTGTGAACCTAATCTTTGGAGAAGAGAAGACTGAGGCGGGATTTAATAGCAGCCTTCAACTACCTGAAGGGTGGTTCCAAAGACGATGGAGCTAGACTTCTCAGCGGTGGCAAACAACAGAAGAAGGAACAATGGCCTCAAGTTGCAGCAGTGGAAGTTTAGATTAGATATTAGGAAAAACCTTTGCACTAAAAAGTTAGTAAAACACTGGAACAGGCTACCCACACAGGTTATGGAATCTTCACCCTTGGAGGTTTTTAAGACCCAGCTAGATAAAGCATTGGCTGGGATGATATAGTTGGAGATGGTTCTCCTTTGAGTAGAGAGTTGAACTAGATGACCTCCTGAGGTCCCTTCCAGCTTTAATTTTCTATGATTCTAAGGTTGAACACCAATGCTCTAGGGTAGGGGTTGTCAACTGGGAGTATGCATACCCCTGGGGGTACTTTGAAGGTCACAGGGGCTACATGGGGGTGGGCGGGGACAGAGTGCCACCATGCCCTGCCTCAAAGGAGCAAGGCCGCACAGATACCATGCTGCTGCCACTCCCCACCCCCACCCTCCCCACCCCT